AAGTTTGTTCTCTGATCTCAAAGGAATGAAATTAGAAATCAGTAGCAGGAAAAAAATTGGGAAAATCAACAAATATGTCAAAGTTAGACTCCTGAATAACCAATAGAAATAAGATTGAAAAGGAAGAAGTAAACTAAACTGTCTCATTGTAGAAGATGTGATTTTATATATACAAAATCCTAAGGAATTTACTAAAAAACTATTGGAACCAATAAATAAGGTCAATAAGATTGCAGGATACACATCAATATACAAAAATCAGTTTTATTTTTATGTACCTGCAATGAACAACCTGAAAAAGAAATTAAGGAAATAATTTCATTCACAATAGCATCAAAAAGAATAAAATACTTAGGAATAAATTTAACAAAAGAAGTACAGGCTTTACGTCTGAAAACTACAAAATGCTGTTGAAAGAAATTAAAGATCAAAATAAATGGAAAGATAACCTCTCTCCGTGGATCAGAAGACTTAACATTGTCAAGATGGCAATATTCCCCTACGTGTAAGAGCTGAAACTATAAAACTCTTAAAAGAAGACAGAAGGGTAAATGTTCATGACTTAGATTTGGCAAAGGATTCTTGGATATGACGCCAAAAGCACAAGCAACCAAAAAAAATTAGATAAATTGCACCTCATCAAAATTAAAAACTTGTATGCTTGACAGGATACCATTAAGAAAGTGAAAAGACAAACCACAGAATGAGAAAATATTTGCAAATCATTTATCTGATTGAGGACTTGTATTCAGAATATATAAAGAACTCTTACAACTCAATAATAAAAAGAGAAATCACCCAAATAGAAAATGGACAAAGGATCTGAATAGGTATTTCTCCAAAGAACATATACAAATGGCCAATAAACACATGAAAAAATGCTCACTATGGGGCTGGCCCCGTGGCCGGGTGGTTAAGTTCGCACACTGCACTGCAGGCAACCCAGTGTTTCGTTGGTTCGAATCCTGGGCGCGGACATGGCACTGCTCATCAAACCATGCTGAGGCAGCATCCCACATGCCACAACTAGAAGGACCCACAATGAAGAATATACAACTATGTACCAGGAGGCTTTGGGGAGAAAAAAGGAAAAAAATAAAATCTTTAAAAAAAAAAATGCTCACTATCATTAGTCATTAGGGAAATGCAAATCAAAACCACAAGATAACATTTCACACCCACTAGTGTGGCTAGAATCAAGAAGTTGGATAGTAATTGTTAGCAAAGATGTGGAGAAGTCAGAAGCCTCAAGCACTGCTGATGTGAATGCAAACTGGTGCAGCCATACGGGAAGGCAGTCTGGCAGCTCCTCCAAAACTTAGAGTTACCATGTAACTCAGCAGTTCCACTCCTAGATATATACTCAAGATAAATGAAAACATGCCCACACAAAACTTAGACACAACTGTTTATAGCAACGTTATTCATACTAGCCAAAAGAAGGAACAACACAAATGTTTATCAACTGCTGAATGGATAAACAAAATGTGGTATATCCATACAATGGAATATTACTCAGAAATAAAAAGGAATGAAGTACTGATATGTATTACAACTTGGATGAACCTGGAAAACATTACCCTAAATGAAAGAAGCCAGCCACAAAAATCCATATATGATTCCATTCCTATGAAAGTCCAGAATAGGGAAATCTGTAGAGACAGAAAGTTGATCTGTGATTGCTTCTTGCTTTGTGGAGGATGGAGTGGGATGGAGTGGATGCAGGATGCTAGCTAAAGGATGGGGTTTCTTTCTGAAGTGATGAAAATGTTCTAAAGTTGGCCATCGTGATGGTTGCACATATCTGAATATACTAAAAAGCATTGAATTGTACACTGTAAGTGGATCAATTGTATGATATGAGAATTATATCTCAGTTAAGCTGTTTAAAAAATAAAAACAACAAGGGATATTTTTGTGTACTATTCTGGAATAATCTCCAAAATTTTTTATTAAATAACAAAGCAAGATGCAAGAGGGAAACAAAGGAATTATTCTGTATCCTGTATGTGGTAGCAGTTACATGAATCTATAAATGTGTTAAAAATTCATAGAACTGTACAACAAAAGAGAAAAAGATAATTTTATTGCATGATAATGTAGAAAAATAAAATCTTAAAAAATATAGTAGAAATTGAGAGAGAAGAAAGATTGTCATCAGAGTTGGTAGTCCTGGTGGTGGACATCAGGGAGGTCTTTAAGAAGAAACTCACACTTGAGTGTACCTTGAAGCCAGACAGATATTTAAGGAGAGACTTGATGAAGAAGGGGAAATCATTTCAGACAGTGTTATCGATGGACAAACATACAGGGCAGGGATCTCTGACTATCTGGGGGAGCATTAACTCTTTAGTTCTGCTGAAAGGAAGGATACATACAGGAAAGAGAATAGATCAGATTATGGGTTTCCTTGCATGTCAGGTTAAGAATTGAACGCTTTATTATATAGTCAATGATGAGCCATCAAACATATTTGATCAGGATGCTGTCTTGGGATAGTATTCTATAAGAACTATTAGTAAGTGAGTTGGAAACCAGTTAGTGGCTATTGTCATAGTTCAGTCACTCATACAGGTGGTGGAGATCTGAGAGCGAAGGGGACAGGTGGAGTTGATACCTTGAAGAATGTGGCAGCTGGTTGGGGAGGGAGAGAAAAGTCCAAAAATTGACTCTTAGGTTTTGAGCCCAGGAGACTGGGATGATAGTACTGTTAACAAAAGGAAGGAAAAGCAAAGATATTGATGAGTTTACTTTGGATTTGTTTATTTTGGGAGCTAGGAGACCTCTAAATAGGAGATTTGGTGGCAGTTAGAGAGGGAAGCCACATAGTTTAGCAGAATTGGATTTGAAAGGCAGCGTATCATAGTGATTGAGAGCAAAGATTTTAGAGCCAGACTTGCCTGGGTTCAGCTATTCACTAGCCTTTTCATCGTGGACATGTTATTTATTCTCTCTGGGCCTCAGATTCATAAAATGGGGATAATAATTATATACACACCTAATATGACTGCTGTTGAGGAATATGTATACACACACACATTTTATTTAGAACAGTGCCTGGTGCATAGAAAGCTTATTGTTATGTAGATGAAGTCCTTTTCAGATCTGATGATCCATTGTTATAGGGTCAGTTTCTGTGAGATGGCATTCCAAGGTGGAGCTCAGGGCCAGAGATATGGGTTAATCATTTCTTTTCTAAGGTATTATTGAACAGATGGTATGAGATACGAAAAGAGAAAATGGAAAGAATGTATAAGTGGCAAGGACCGAATGTTGAGGACCGTTACATTAGGGAGCAAGGGGCAGGAGTATAGAGAAGAGGCCAGTGCAGGAAAATTCAGAGAAAGAGAAGGAAAACTGGGAGATACTGTCGTGAAGGCCAAGTGGAATAGAAAAGACAACTCAAGGGAAGATAGTCTTTTAGAGTAGAGACCACTTGAGTTCAGTTTGAAGGTTTACGGATGCATGTGACAGACAGGAAGAGGCTGAAGATGAAAATAAAGGAAATTAATTAATGGAGCATAGTTCTGAGAGGATTCATGGGGAAGGAAGATAATTTCCCTTTTTGAACTGGGCTAAAAGATGAGAAGGATATGTGGTCATGCAGTCAAAAGTTTGAGTTGGGATTTTGGGGGAAAGTTGGAAGTCAAGGGAGCTCACATTGGATAACTTCACTTTTTTTCCCGTAAAATAAGAAGCAAGGTCATCTGGAGAGAAAGAGGAAGATAGGGGATAAAATTGAAGAGTGTTTCTAAGCAGCTTTAGATATTTTCTCTGGTTCTGCCCTTTGTATGAATGGAAAACAAATGAACCATGTCAATTATAATAGGTAATATTTACTGAGCCTTTAATGTCTGCTAGGTATCATGTTAAGAGCTTATTTCAAACGTAAAACATCCCTAACAGGCGAATGGTATTAGCAGCATTATCCACATATTATAGAGGGTAATGCATGAGACAAAGAAAGGATTCAAACTGCTCAACGTGACCCAGCTAATAAGAGGTAAAACCAAGACTGAATGCTGGGTCTGCCTAACTCCGAGTTCTTAACAATCGTGCTTTCTGAGGTTTTACTTTCAGATTTCATTAAAGCAGTAAGATATTGGTTCAAGAATATACATGGATTAATGGGATAGAATACAGAGTATGGAGAAATAGCCCATGTATACGATGGAATGTAATTTTAATAAAGTTAACGTTTTAACTAAATGGAGAATGGATGGCTTGTTTGATACATGCACTGGGGCAATTAACTATCCACTTTTACATTTTTAATTAATTTTGATCCCATATTTTAAAATATATATAATAGAAATCAGAAGAGTGGTTGTCTATGGCAGGGTAGAGAGTGACTTGGGAACTTCCTGGGGTAACAGAAGTGTTCTATAATTTGACCAGAATGTTGGTTACGGGGGTCTTTTCTGACTTGTGTGGAAGTGTCTCCTGGTTCTTGGGGCTGGCTACCCTCCTCCACCAAGACCTTCTTCCTGTAGTGTCAGTCATATGCTCTCAGCGTTTCTTTCTAGGATACAAAGAAAAGAAAGACTTTTATATTATAACATCACTGGCTTAGGAGTAGATTACCCCACTGTTTATAATATTCATTGGTACAATATTCTCCAGTGAAAAGATATTCTCCATCAGGAAATTTTAACTAAAAAAATATGACCTGTTTGTATAATAATTGTGGAAGTAGTGTATTTTACGAGGCAGCCTAGTGTGATGGAACTGTCGTCGAACTGGAAGGAATCAGGTGCTCTGAGTTCTTGTTCCGATTCTGCCACTGATGAGATGGCGATTTTGGAGCAAGTCATTTCCTCTCCCTGGGCTTCAACTCCCTCGTTGGTTAATAAAATGGATTGGACTAATGACTGAAGGTCCTTCCAGGTGTAAGATTCAGTAAACCCTGTTCGTTCCCAGAGACCTTATGTGGAATATCCCAGATATTTCACTAGCTATCTGGAAAGTAAGATTTTCTTTGCTTTTATATTTTGAAACAGGTGACAACCAAAGCCAAGCAACTGAAGGACTCAGTTACCTGCTCCCCAGGTGAGTCAGCACCCACTCCATCCCATTAATCTAAGCGGTTTCTTCAGAATAACCCCGTTTATAATGACATGTTTAATTATGATGGTGTAGTATTGCCCAGTGAATTTCTAGTGGTCATTTCCCTAAAAGAGGTCGAAATACAGGCACCAACCAGCCAGTCCAGCCCTGCACAGACAGTGGGTGCTAAGATGTATTTAGTCAGTTTACAGAACTATGAAAACCTGGCTCTTCTCTAGTAATGGGGGCAGGGTCTCACAGAGGGGACGGCCAGTCTGCTCACACACAGCGCCCTGTGCGCAGTTTCCCACCCCACCATCACACACACACAGAGCTGTCCTTCCCAACAGACAACGAGCGGCTTCCCCAAGAATCTGCGTTCCCCGAAATCTGTTTCCTCCAATCCTGACTGGGATTGTGTTAGTCTCCCTGCTCTTTGCTTGGAACCAGGAAGGAAGTGCCTCCTAAACCTTCCGCGTTAGCTTCACTGCAGGTCCCAGGGAGAGCAGTGCAGGGGAGCCAGCCGGGAATCAGTAACCCCGAGATCTCAGAAGTCACCCCCGGAAGGCTTCAGCTTGGGGCTCTGTAGGCTGCAGGAAAGAGGGCATTTCCAGCTGCTTTTCTCCCAATAAGTCTATGTGTCTGGGCACGGAGGCAGAAATAGTAATGAAATGTTGTGTGAGAGAAGCATACCTCCAGAACATTCTCCAAAAACGTTCTCTTGCAAAGCCAGTGTGGTGTGAAGTCATGAGCAGACATGATCTTACTAGAGCCTTGTGGGGGTGAGGGGACAGAGTGTGGAGAGGACAGGAAACATGTGGTTGAACATTGAAGGGTATCTGGGAGATGACACCTACAACAGGGAGACTGAGTTGTTCGCCCATTACTGTCACATGAGGCGTCACAGTGGCACCGGAAGCAGCTTTGAGCTGAGAGCAGATGCCCCAGTGTCGGTGGCTCAGCTGCAGGTGGTGAGCAGAGCATAAGGTTTGGCCGATTGATTCAAGTCACACCGATGCCATTAACCACAAGTATGGACCGTGAAGAGCATTCTTCCTTCTAGGGAGGGAAGCAGCAGGTATTCCTTCTCAAAGGCACTTTTGTGTTCTTTGACCACAGCCCGGTTCCCTATATGCCCACTCTTCCTCAGCGGGGTGGGCGGGCGGACTTGGAATCAGTCAGAACTGGGTTCAAGCCCCAGCTCTGCTGCCTTCTGAGACTGATTTTCCTCACCTATAAAGTTAGGATAGTGAGACCTGACTTTCTAGAATGGGTGAAGATTAAATAAAATCGTAGATAGAAAATGCCGACACACTGTCTGCTTGACCCTGAGTCGACTGGCCCTTTCGTGTGTGATGGCGCTTTCTTGCAGGCATGGTTAGACTCTCGGAGCTCAAGTCAACAGCTCAGAGCTGCAGGCCCGTCAAGACCACCGCGGCCTTGCCAGATGACATCATCACCCAGCGAGAAGATGCCGAGCAGGCCGTGGAGGAGGAGGAGCAGGAGGAGGAGCAGGGGGAGGAGGACGAGCAGGAGGCCGCGGTCCAGGAGAGCCGGCCGCGGCGGCGGAGGCCAGCCAGGCTGCCGGAGGCGACGGCCAGGGCCGAGCCCGAGGAGAGGGTGAGAGGGAGGAGGCAGAAGGACTTTGACGCGGCGGAGCACAATGAGTCCAGCGACGAGGAGAGCCAGAAAAGAGAGAGAACGCGTGCCGCAGAGGAGCCGTGGACTCAGAATCAACAGAAACTTCTGGAATTAGCATTACAGCAATACCCAAAGGGATCCTCCGACCGCTGGGACAAAATAGCCAAATGTGTGCCATCTAAGAGCAAGGTGGGTGAAGGGGGAGAGGCTGCCCGCTGGTCTCGAAATCCACTGAGGGCCGCGGCCGGTCGTGTCTCATTTCTCCTCCGTGTCATTCGTGTCCTTCTGTCCACAGCTGTGTCTGTGATCTCCTCTTTACCGACTGTCTCCCAGTTTTCTCCCGGCAGGCTGTGAAGCCGGGCACTGCACTGATCAGGGTGAAGGAGGCCGAGGTTCTGAGTTTAGCTGTTACACAGACGGGCCCGTTGTTCTTTCTCAGAGAACATCACGCATAGAACATAAACTTCACCCGCAGCAACCCTGCTGGCCTTCTGGAGCGTTCGCCCTCCAGGTGGCAGTTTGAGAGAAGCACCCGCATCCCCGTGAGGGCGGCGGGGCCACGCCAGGTCAGCAGGCTCCCCACCACAGTGGCAGCTCTCTTTCACCCGCAGGAGGAGAAAGCGGCTCAAAATTATAAGCACCACTAGCTTTCGAACGAGCCTCAACCATGGGGGCTGGTGTGGGAGACGCTGTCACCGTGCCCGTCGGCCTGGCCGTGTCAGTCCCCCTGGACTCAGCGGCAGCACCCAGGGGACTGGAGCCTCTGGAGCTGTCTCTGGTGTCTGCGTGTGGGGTCAGAGCGAGCCCGATGATTAGGATTCAGCTTACCCTCTGTGGCCCAGACTGTTTATACTTAACTTTCTCGTTAAGTTTCCTCTTTACAGCTTAGTGTCTGTTAAACTCGTCTAAGATAGCTCTCTAATAAAGCTCAGGTGGGCGGGAAGATGGGGTGTCCCTGTGGAAAGCCAGCCCCCCGCCCTGGTCCTAGCCTTCCGCTCTGCTGGTTCGCAGCCTTGGAGCCTCACAGTGTGATGCTTCCTGACCCACGGTCTCCACAGTCGGGTGGCTGCGCTCCGAGCGTGAGGCACCAGGAGCACCGGGACATCCAGAGACCCAGCCTGTCCTGCCCGCCACTCAGAAGCCTGTGGGCACATTGATGCTCATTTACGTTCTTGTTTTTTTTTAATTGAAATGCTATGTTGGAAAATCTAGCTCATGGCCATGAATGTCCCCATGTGTACAGGTCTAGTTATCTATCACCTACTTTAAAATAATGAAGTTGAGAATTCCCGGGGAGAAAAATAAACCATTAGCCGTTGATCTATTTGAGAAACACAGATTCTCCCAGCCTCTCCCCCTGGTTTGCCAGAAGTAATTATTTTCCCTGAATTTCTCTTGCATCTGTCAAGATGCAGGCATTTACATGTGTGATGAATTGACATTGGCTTCAAATGAAGGAGCTGGAACTGTGGATTCCTAAGGAGAGAACACGCAGGAACTCATGACCCTGGGGCTTGGAAACCTTCCCGTTTCAACCAGAAATGAGGAGCACTTTGATTGTCCTGCAGGTGTTCCCTTTAAGCCTTGATGTTAGAACCAGGTCCAGGAGGGTGCCTGCTGGCTCGCCTGCTAGAGAGTGACTCCCTGGAAGGGGCCCGTGAGCTGCTGGGAACTCTGGGCCTGGAGGAGGAGCCTTTGCCTGAGGTGCAGGCTGGGCTGGACTCACTGGCAGGCCTGCTGCTCAGAGCTCAGGGCCCATGCTGTCCTTTCTGTGAGGGGAGGCTGGACATTGGCTGCTCTGGGCTAGGCTGCACCAATGGGCAGCATAGCTATTCAGACAGGCTGATGTTGGAGCCGGCCCTGGCATAGTGGTTAAGTTCAGTGTATTCTGCTTTGGCAGTCTGGGTTCGGCTCCTAGGCACGTACCTACACCATTCGTCAGCCGTGCTGTGGCGGTGACCCACATACGAAATAGAGGAAGATTGGCACGGATGTTAGCCCAGGGCTAATCTTCTTCACAAAAAGAAAAAACCAAAAGGCTGATATTTGAAAGACCCTAGGCAAGTAGTCTTTGGGGATTCAGAAAAGGCAGTTCCTAGAGGAATCTCTCTTAACACCGCTAAGCTGGACTCCTAGGGCGAGAGTGAACATCCATTCTCTGTCCCGGGCAGCTGACAGAGTTGTCTGCTCGGGAGCGGAAGTCAGTTTGCGCTGGGCCTTAAGTTGGTGAAGCCACTCACATGCCATTGGGGCTGGTATTTTTTGGAGAGAAACAGAAGTGGATTCTGGAAAATACCTTGTGATAAACATGGGAGTGATGAGGCCCCTCCCCAGCACACCTCCTCTCTGCTGGGGTAATGAGTCACACCCCAAGGGGTGACAGCTCCAGGCGGCCAGGGTCTGAAGCTGGTAGTTCTGTAGCCTGACGACAGGCTGGAAGCTTTAGGTGGGGCTGGGCCGAGCAGGGGAAGAGTTCCAGCACACTCGCTGCCGGGGTCCTATGGGGCTGAACGAACGTGGGACCACAGGAGGTCCCGGCAGCCCCTTGGAGAAATGCAGACCCCAATGAGAATAATAGCCCGGGTGCCTGGCCTCAAGCTTTTTGGTTTCTCTGAAGTGATGTGTTGTGATGAAATAGTGAAATGTTAAAAATGATAGTTGTAGTGAGCAAGGTGAAAGTCGTAATCATAATAATGATCGCAGGCCTCCCAAACAGCTGTCCTGGGCCGCTCCCCCGGCGCCTGGCACTGTCCCTCAGGCCGGGCTGGCCTTTTAGCCAGCCTTCTCCTTGCACCTGTCTGCCTGCGACCAGCGGGCCTCACCTAGGAAACTCTAGGCGGGTTCTGTGCAGAGTGAGTGGCCATTAGCACCGGGCCCAGCCCACAAGCGCTCCGGGCAGGCGGCCTGCAGGCCACGGGGCCCATGGGAATAACCGTCTCTCTCTCTCTCTCTCTCTTCCTACAGGAAGACTGTATCGCTAGATACAAGTTGCTGGTTGAACTGGTCCAAAAGAAGAAAGAAGCTAAAAGCTGAATATTCCGGAAGGTGATGTCCACCTTCATTTTCCAAAATGATTATTTGAAAAATCTTACGCAGAAATTTGCATTTTGTACCTCAGTATTTCTATACGTTATGTGCCTTAGTAAAGAAATAAAAAAAATTAAAAATTAATGTTGTGCCATGTTGTTTAAACAAATACTGCATTATAAGAGAAAAAATGATTAGGGTATTTTGCAGATTATTTTCTCTCTCATCCCTGTGAAGTGTGCTTTCCTGGGGCACACAGAATAGTGCTTTCCAACCATCATAGAGGATTTTGGAGGAACTTATGAGTGAACCAATATTGAAGCATTAGCGTGTTTTAATATTTAGAACTTATGTGTTTCTTTGACCAAAGAACACACTGGTTAGTGAGATTACTGCCAGCGGGACGCAGCTGCCTGGGGAGAAGAACCCAGTGTTGAGCCCGCTGGCTGGGCACAGCGTGAGGTTACCTCACTTATATGTGTCTAGAGAAAAACAAGTGAACAAGGACATAGAGTGATAAAGCTAACTTTGGGTTGTTTTGTAGAAATACAGCCCCAACTGATAGAATTTCCAGAGAACGTGCAGGAAAGGTTTTTCGGAACTGATGAAAGTGAGTCCTAATTTTCAATACCTGAGTTCAAATCGCCGTTTGTACTGCCGATTTCAATTGAACTGTCACCATCAGCCGAGTGTTCCTTTTTACTGTCAGTTGCTCAGGGCTTGGAAATAGTTGCCCACGTGCACATTGCCTAACCTCGAACTCCGTGAAGCTCCCCAGAACACATTTAGGGAAGTGATCTGATAAAATGTCTATGGAGACGTCGTTTTTCTCTGAGGATTGAAATGAGGGTAGAGTTTCCTGGAGAAAAGTTTGAGTGTCTGTGGCCACCAGTGGCTCTGTGACCCTTCACAGGAGAGGACGCGGCACCAGGGGAGCTCCGAACCCCAGTCCCTGGCACAGCTCCCTGAGGGGCACTCGGCACCTCCAAGACCTGGAAAAGAGCAGTTGAAAGCCAGCAGATTACCAGCTAGCTGGTCAGTGGTCATTTGGTTTCCGTGAACTGAGTCATCAGGTGGCAGCTCCTTCGGCCTCATCCCATTAGGAAGGGGAGGCAGCTGGGGAAGGAAGAGCCCGTTGCCTGGGTTGGGGGTTGGGCTGGTCGAGGGGACAGGAGGGGTTGGGGTCGGGCTATGTGGTCTTCCTCTTGTCCCGGCCATGCTCGCTGCCCTCTTTCTAACAGACCAGAGCTGAGCAGGTCACAGGGCGGACCAGGGCCAACAGCTTCTCCCCCAGAACTTTCTCTGGAGCCGGTGGGGCTGTGAGGTGGTTACTGTGTATTCGCATCTGCCTCCCCCTTCACACAGGAGAGTCGCCGAGAATAAAACGGGCCTGGAGGGAAACAAAGGAGAGAAAAGGATTGTCCTGGCTGCATTCCGGCCCTGGGTCCCTCTCGAGTCTAGCTGCAGGCCTGTTTCTCTCGGCTCTGTTGTCCAGCATGTGACATTCTGTGAGCATCCTTCCATGTGCCGGCGAGTCACTTCCCGCCCTCTATTGGGCAACGCTCCGCTGCTATTCACAGGGTCTTCAGGGCCGATTTTTTCGGAAGTGGGTGGCCAGGTCCTTCCTAGTTAGTCTGGAAGCTCCGCTGAAACCTGTGCACCATGGAGGACCCAGCTGATATTTGAAATATTGGTGGCAGAGCTTTCAGCGTCACAGCAAGATGCAGCCGCCGCAGTGTGACACCCGACAGACGGGCAGTGTGGTTCCCTGAGCAGGACACAAACCCAGGAGGGGACGGTGAGTCTTAACCACTAGACCACCAGGGCTGCTTCCACTAAGTCACCCTTTGTACTTAACGGTGCTTTGAATGGGGTTCTGTCACTCACACCCCCAAATCCCATTACAAGTTTTCTGGGCTTGCAGGGTGGGGAGAGCCCCACAGGGGGTCCAAGATGCCTCATGGAGCACAGTCCAGGATGAACTCCCCTGATTTGCCTGTCAACTTCCTCTTTTCTAGACTCCTTAAGAAAATCGGGTTCTAGCTGGGCTTTTCGCTGCCAACTTCCCCGCACCCCTCCCCCAGGGGCTCGCAGCGCCGAGGGGAGTTGAAGTTGGACCAGAGGCTGGCAGGAGGCTCCTGGGTTCCGGCCACACACAGGACACCCCTGGGGTTCGGTTTGAGCGAGGTCACCGCCAAGAAAACAAGGAGCCTCCAAAAGGTTGGCACCACACTGGTTAGTGGGGACAAAGCACGACTCCCAGTGATGCCCCCTTCTCAGGTCCAGACTCCCCAGAGACACGCTCCCCAAACCCACCCTTCCCAGGCCCGCCTCGGGCGTGACCTCACCTGCCCGCACCTCCACGGCGAACTGTGTGACATTGGGGACTTTGTTTCCCCTCTTTGGCCCAGTTCCTCGGACTAGAAGAACAGAGAATGGTGGTCGCTGCTTATAGATTGTCAGGATGGGAAAATGCAGTGATCTGTGTACCATCTTCAACACGGTGCCCAGCTTGGCCCAAGCCATCCGTGTTCTGTTCCCTCTGACCGTCCAGGCTCCCAGTGGCATCATCTCAAGCAGCCACCGCCACAGTCGGCAGGGCTGGCGGCCCCTCGGCACACTCCATCTTGCCCCTTGCAGGCCGTGCTCTTCCCTGGGCCCAGGGGATGGGACCCCTACGAAGAAAGATCTTGCTATTTGGGATGGTAGTTTTCTGGTCCACATCTCTCACTAGGTGCCCCACGGGTCTCTCACCCAAAAGCTAATAGTCTCTGCGGCATCTACTCGGCTGCAGCCCACGGAGAGCCAGTGTGGTCCCTTCTTCCCCAGCTGTGGTCTAAGGAAAGGGAGAGTGTTCGTCAGAAGCTCCAGGTCTGAACCCTGCATCAAGCCCCATGGGCAGGGAGTGGCGGCCGGGACATGCCAAGTGGTTTGGTCGCCTGGGTGCTAAGGAGGCTGGGGCAGCCGAGGATGGAGCCTCCAGCCCCTCTCGAGCCTTCCAGGTCCCTGCCCTACTCGGAGGTCTGCTTGCTGGCTTTGGACAGGGCGGCTGGCTCTGGGCTCCTCCTCTGCCAATGCCATCCTACCCGTGGCCTGCCTGCTTCCACGAGCCCCTGCATGGCCGGCGGGGGGCCTGTGCAAGCCTGTGGGGTCCCACCTCCCTGGAGGACTGGGTCTTAATCCTTTAGTGATAGAGGTCTACCTTCTCCAGTGGGGGCTACTGTTGCTTTCAACCATTTATAGCACCCGTTTTTAAAGCCTATGCACATGTTCTCTTTTATCCTCACAAAACCTCTGGCTGGTTGAACAGGTTCCGGCCCAGCAGCCAGCTTCCCCCCGATGCCACCGGGTGCTGTCACCCACTCCATGGGGAGCCGGCAGGTGCTGTCACGATGCTTTGCTATTCAGAACTGGGGGTGGGGAGGGTCCTCTGTGGCCCACGTTGCTTGGGTTTCCAGCACATAATCTGGTTCATCTGTGAAATCGGATGGGATCCACCCGGAAAGCCTGCACTCCCATCTCTCCTTCGAGCCACATGTGCTTGCAAACCTCCCGGCCCCACGAGAGGCTGATCTCTTTCCAAGGGGATCTTGCGGCCCATGTGATTTATTCTTCTACTGCTGCCATTTCAAATTCCCTCTCAGTTTTAGAATAAAATCACCATAAGCTTTCCACTGTAAATCTTTTTGGTTACCTTAAAAAACGCCTCTTGCCCCAGGACTTTTCCTTGATATGTGCTGGTACCACCCCAAACCAAGTCTGCCCACCCCTTTGAAAGTAGAGAACAAATCCCTTAAAAATGCCAACCATGTCGTCCCTGCTTACGTCTGTAGGGCGTTTGTTGTAGTTGTTTGTTTTAGCAGTGAGGTTTTTTTCCAGAACTTTAAATGGCACAGTTGAAATTGTGATGTTCTACACACACGGGGTGAACATCCATCCCAAGCTGCCCAGGACAGTCCCAGTTTATCCCGGTTTGTCCACCCAGTTGGGGCAGGACGTGGCATGGTCAGCCTTCCCAAGGGATTCTGAATTCCCCATGAGAGACGTCAGCATTCAGCTGTTTGCTTTTGGTTTACAAAGCCCCAATGCTGGAGGGGTGGTGCTGATGCTGACCCCCAGGTCCTCCTGAGGTTCCCCTCCCCAACTCAAGGGAAACTGAGGCCCGAGGACACGCCTGGGTTGGGGCCCATGTGACCGGGGTCTCCTGCAACTGGCTTTTCCTGCCACCAGTGCTGGTAGGCCTCCCACGCCCCTGCTGAAGGCCACCCGTGTGGTCTCAGCCCCTTTGAGGTGACTTAGACCAGCCAAGGGTAGTCACTGGGTAGAAACATATTTTGATGTGCCATCCTCAATTTTAAAATCCCCTCTCCCCAAACGGTCCCAAAACAACGCCAACTTTCTAAATAACGGCTGAGAAATGAGCGGCGTTGTCTCTGGTCTGGAGTCTTCCTGTGTGACCTCACCTCTGACCTGCAGATGCGAGGCAGGTGTCCTGGGGTCAGTCACAGTGGCGGGTCCCCGGTCAGGCCCACAGGAAGGAAGCAGGTCACCTCTGAGCGTCCCCTCCCTCTCTGTTCCCCCAGCTCACAGGGCACATCAAGGGTCACAGGAGGCCCCAGAAAGCCCTTTGCAAACTGTCGAAGTGCTCAGTGGGGACATGGCTCAAGGATGGGAACATGGGTCCTCTTTTCGCCGTCTGTAGCTCTCCCGCCAGGGGGGACCCCACCTGGAGCCTGCCTGGAGCCACCCCGCTCTCCTGGCACTCAGCCCAGCCTCCCGTCTGAGTGAACTACTTGGCCCTCAGCCTTAGACTTGATTCCTGGGGGAGCTACATCAACACGCTGCAAAACTGAGGGGCTCTGGTTATTGTCCCCTGGTCTGGAGGAAAAAAGAACAGCTTCATGTGGGACAGAAACAGGGGAACCAGTTCAGCGCTCTGATTCCCGGGGGAAGCTACCAGTGTCTGAAAGAGCCGAGTCCCAGAGAAAGCTGGGGACCACTCCCAGTGCTGGTACCTCCCAACGTGGGACCCCCTGCCCTCTCCTCACACACCAGATGCCAACAGCACCCCGAGCCTGGCTCCTCTGGGACTGAAGGCCAGCTTCAGCAGGGTTTCTCACGCCCAGCTCCCTTCCTCACCCCTC